TCCTTCCATACCATGCTAGAAACCAGGAGACTTGAGTTTTAGTCTTGCCATAGGTATAAAAGCCATCTGGATGCCAGTCATTCTCTCTCAGCCCCAACCATCTCGGAGGATTGTTGTGGAAAAAGGAGGAAGAGGAAGGAATATTAGATATATTGACCACCTTGAGTTATTTATAAAAAAATAATAAAGTAAAAAAAAACCTTTAAAAATGTTTCACCAGCAGATTGATGATCACAGCCTCTATTTCCCCATTCAGCCCCTTCTGTTTGGGCCTGCGTCCTTGGAGGCAATGCAAACCCTTTGAGAATTGGCAGAGAATTACATTGTACAAACAACAAACAATACCATCTTATATAGGTTCAGCTTTAGCATTCTTCCTCCCATTTAGGCCCCCAACATTCCCCAAGCGTCCAAACAAGACTTTGAAAGAATCTTCAACTGGCCTTGGAGTGACAGTATTGATAGTATTGCAGCCTGAACTTCCATATGAACTTTCCCAGTAGCTTCATAAAGATATTAAAAAGTGGGAGAGAGGAAACAGATCCATTACACAGGAAGGCAAACACTGGACCAATCTCTCTCACACTAGTAATACCTGGAATCACCCACTGAGTTAATAATAGAACTGCAAAAATAGAGCAGGGCTTGCAAGAACTCTAAATCTTTAAGAGGGCCAGTTCAGAGGTGGGATTTACTTACCTTCCTACCAGTTCACAAATGTGAGCTTGCTTCACTCACATGCACCTCGTCTGCATATGTGCACTGCCTTCTGAGCATACGCAGTGCTTTTGCATTACGTTGGGACGGGTGGGCAGAGCCTCCCACAGCCACCGCTACCGGTTTGCCCAAACCAGAGAGAACCGGCTGAATATTACCTCCGGGCCAGTTAGATCAAGTATGGGACCCTATCAAGGTCCTGATAAATGTAAGCAACTTTAGCAGTCAAAGCTGTCTTCATCTTAGTCTCAGACCTGAACCTGATGGAAAAGCTTAAGATAATCCAATTCTTTAGAATGCTGTGCAGCTGAATCAGTTTCTATCACAGGCTTGGTGATCTGCCCCAAAAGATTGGAGTAATGGGCAACAATGCCCAAGCACGACTAGATCCAGGAAGGACCTATAAAGGAGTGGGCACCCCTCAGCCTCCTTCAAAGCTGCTGGCATCATCCATTACCATTCCATACTGAAGCATTGACAACTTCCTGAATCTAACAAATCACAGATTTGCCAGGTCTATGTAGCAGCCAGGAGAGTTTGAATTGAGCCTGCAAGGGGCATGCTTCACTGGAAATCCCCCACGGAATGCAAATTTCACATGCAAATTCTGTGATGGAATCTGACAAATGTTTATGTAAGTTGGCTAAAATTATTTATAAGTAAATACTTCCAGAACTTCAGTGTTGTTCTAGTTCATAAAAGAACTGCCTATTCTCCCTGCTAAAATATGCTCAACTCAATCACCAGTGTTGGGTTTTTGTTGACATGCGGTTTAATAAAACAGAATGAAGTATTATTTTTCTGTCCTGTGTTTGATGTGTATACTGCTGAGGACAGCAAAACCGAAGAACAAAGTGCCACAGAGCACACAGACAAGCTGAAGTTATAGAAACAGTTGTGGTTGATGGAGGAGCCTAATGTTTCCTTCACATGAAAAATATTTCTTTAGAAATAAAAAAAAAGCAACCAGTTGCTGTTTCCAAGCAAAATGCTGCTGAGGGTTTTTTGGTTTTATTCCCATATTGCAAAGTGTGTATGTTGGCGTTTTGGACATTTTTTGAATAATGTATCGTTACAGTGGTGGAGGATATTATTTGAAAGATCAGCTGCTCCAATTGGCAGATAAGCCAGCCTCCCTCTCTTCTCTCACTCGAATTGCTTCAGTTTATACACTATTCTTAAGTTCATCAGAATAGGGCATAGGGTACAACTGCATTTTAAGACAAGGTTAAAAACATCTGCAGTTTAAAAACTAGGTCCCTGGAGAGGGTGTTAAATCCAGAGAGTGCTGATCTGTTTCCCGTCTTTGTTATGATTTCTCCACTGTAACTGAATATCACTTTGAGCTGCAGCAAATAAGAATGAGTCTACTAGGTCTGTGTCAGCAGGCCAAGAATTGCTGGCTTCACCTCCCCCTTTTTACGTACTCCTAATGAGCTCTCAGAACCCCAAAACATATTTTTATTAATTTATGTTTAAAGCTGTGCTGTCAGCGCAGGCTTTGGGTGGAATGGACAGTTGCTGTCTTTTATTTTCATTAGTCACACAAATGGATGCCTTAATTTGGGATACTATACAGGTAGTCCTTGACTTACAATTGTTCACTTAGTGTTCTGACCTAGGCTTCCCAAGAGCATACAGCAAACGCCTTGTCCCAACAAAAACCGCTTTTATTAATTTACTGTGAATTCTGCTCATTCACATCTAGCAAAGTCTTTCAAGGGAGGATTTATAGTCACAGATCTTATCTGGCTTGGAGAACTGACAGGCCAATATCTGCATAACATGACAAGGAGTCTCGGAGAGTCATGAACCAATTAAGCGAACTAATTGTCTCTTGCAAACTCCACTCCCCTTTCGCTCCTCTTTTATTTCCTCTGGGGGGGGGACCATTTATAGCCCACCTGTGGCCTTGTTCCCAAGTCAGCCGTTCTTTAGCTGTTCCCTTTGACAATTCTGTGCATGCTCACACTGGGAACAGGCTCCAGCTGTTCACCTGCCTCACTGATGTCTGACTCTGAAGGCAGCTGATAACAGGCGTACAGCTCTGGCCCGCTCTCTGATTCCGACACAGAGCCCTCATCAGAGCCTTCCCCAGACTCCAGGACTTGCCCATGTTCCTTCCCAACCTCCTCACTGTCCAAATCTGCTGTCAGCTCCACTGGCTGCTGGCAGGCCACAACACTTAGTGACCATTTGAAATTACAACGTCATTGAAAAAAGTGAGTTATGACTGTTTTTCACACTTACAACTCTTGCAATATCCCCATGGTCATATGTTCAAAATCCAGATGCTTGGCAACTGACTCATATTTATGACCGTCAAAGTGTACTAAGATCATGCCAGATTCATTTAACAATAGAGTTACTAATTTAAGAACTGCAGTGATACACTTAACTGTGGCAAGAAAAAACATAAAACGGGGCAAAATTCATTTAACAAATGTCTTACTTAGCAACAGAAATGTTGGGATCAATTGTGGTTGTAAGATGAAGAATACCATGTATTACATTTTTTACCAATCCCACCAGGCTAACCTGATGCTGTTTATATTTAAAATGTCCTGTTTAGTAGACAAGGCAAACAATTCTTACTGGAGACTTCACTAAGCATGATCTTCTATAAACTTCTTCTATTTTATATGGAAAATTCCTGAAAAAAATTACAAAGGATAGTAATAGGTATGACAGGTTCTCAGCAGATTTCTTGGGGATGTCAAGCTCCTGTGTACAGAGCACCTCACATTCTTGGCTGTTCTCATTAAGGGTTAAATGATAGATTTTCCTAGGAAGTTTAAAAAAAAATTGGGATGAAAACATTGGCAGATATCTCTGTTTTGTTGCCAAGGAAACTCGATGGACATTTCCAGAAAGTCTCCAGCAATGGTAAAGGCCTTAGGCTAGAAACCAGGAGAATCTGAGCTCTAGTCTCATCTTAGGTATGGAAACTGGTTGAATGACTGGGCCAGTCCCTCTCCCACTCTCCCTCCCTCCGCCCTCTCTCTCCCTCTTTCCCTCCCTCTCTCTGCCCAACCGACCTCACAGAGAAAAAATCACCATCTGAGCTATATAAAAATATAATAAACATGAGATGTAAATAAATAAAATATTCACTATAGGAAACATGAGGAGTTTCACAAAACCTATCTTTGCACGAAAAAACATAAGGAGGTAAAGAAGCTACATGGATTCGCCCCATCTTCCCATTCCAGTATCCACCACTCTTTATGTTGTTTAAAACTAATTGCAAAGGGTCTGGGTCTGTGTATATACACAGGTTGTTTTTGTTTAGCTACTGTCTTCTTTAATGATCATTCACAGTTAAGAAGAGTGATGAAAAATAACTTTACAACCATTCTCACATTTGTGATCTTCACAGGTCTGTAAAGCAATCGAAAACTGAATTAAAATCATAAGCACAGGTATAATTTCACTTAGCAATCACTTTGATTAACAACCAAATTACCTGTGCCGGTTGTGATTGTTAAATGAGGATGATTTGTGTAATGCTTCCATACAATGGGAAACCCCTAGTCCTATGATGTTCAACCTCAACACAGTGGGTGGGTGTGTGGGTGTGTCAGTCCGCCCTTTTGATGCATTCCAGATATATTGGGAGGAAGGCTGCTGGACAGCTCCTGCCCATATTATTCCTTCATTAGAAAGAGGCAGTATATATAATGAGTTGGAGGGATTTATTTTATTTATTTATTNTATTTGCACCTATTTTTAAAAAATCTATAGAAGAATGTCTGTGAATGAATGAGAAACTTCCAAATATCTTACTAGGAGGTCTTCTCTGTTGTTCATCTGGGTTTCTTTTCTCCTCTTCCAAATCAGGATGGGGTTAAATATTTTTCTTTGTTAGTGTTACTGTAGTTGGCAACAACAATATATTTTAAGCCAAATGTAGTTTTCTTTTTAAAATATTGTTTTCTAAGAAAAACTGGACTGTTCTATTACACTACATATTGGACCACCCAATAATTTCCATACGCAGACTGCTGAGTATGACCAGATGATATATTTGTGTATCAGGCAAACAGAGCTTCCCGATTAAAACAACCAGCCAGGAAATAAATAGCATTAAGAGGGGATTAACGTTGATATCTTTCATACTACTTTGTATCAAATGTTACATTTGATGCAGTTTCTATGCGAAATTTTTAGTAGCTCTGGAGTATTTTTATATATATTTATAATACATAACAATATCTAAATTATGTATCCTAATATCTCTTATATTGATATTTATATAGCATTGATGTTCATAATTTTTTTTTTTAACAGACGACTTTGCCGAAGAGGAAGAGGTTCAGTCCTTTGGTTATAAGCGGTTTGGTAAGTTAGACAGCACCTTCAAAATTTCACAATATGGACAAAACAATTACCCAAATGAATTCTCTCTATATGTTACTTGAAACATGGTTAAAACATTAAAATATTCCTTGCCATTAGAGGCAAGAAATGTGTAGTGGGGTGATTGATAAAGAACATTGGTTACTTCACTGGTATTGTACCAAAAATACAAAAATGTATTTTTGAGAAGGGTTTGTTTTTGAGCATGTATTTATTTATATAAAAGCTTCTACTATTTTTGCTATTCAAAACTAATATGATACTAACTATGATAATTTGTAATTACCATTCAACATTTGTCATTATCATTTTCTCAATAGCAGGATGAGTTGCCACATCATTAAAAAGTGCCTAATTAAGTGATTTGCGTTTCCATTAAACATAAAAAAGATAGCCTTTTTGATGTTCAATAGGGTACCAATCAGTAACTACTAAGTAACTACTAAGAGTATTTTCCTCATGTAAATATGTGGATGTGAAAGTTTAGCACAGTGTTTCCCAAGCTGAGATAAATTGCCGACAATTGGATAAAAGTGGTTTTTCTTTGGCTAATGACAAATAAATTCATTACCCAATCTCAATAGGTTCATTTAAATTGACTTGAAGGGTTTTACTTACATAGGGCAAAAAGGAATTTCTAATAAGCATAATTTTTTTGAGAAGCATTCCTTTAGTACTTCTGTAGATTAACATGCTAAAATGTTGAAGTGGCAAACCCAAATTTTGAAATTCTGGAAACTGAATCCGAGGTGAAAATCACCATGTTTTTCTACCACTTTAATCATGCCCAATTATTGTAGAGAATTTCAAATTCATGTTTTAATGCTCTTACATCTGATCAGGTAGATGATTAGACACACTTTTTAGTGAATGCATTTGTCTTTTGGATTTTGAATGTTGATGCTCTTCCTCATTTTTTTCCTATATTGAATTTGTATAGAGATATTTATAGAGATAGGAAATAAATGTTATTTGTATGTCTCTTTCTAATCATTCAATGTTAATGTTTCTCTGTCAGCAGTCCAAATTACAAGCTAGCTAGATTCTAGGGTTCGTTTATAATGTTTGTTATGATATTATTAAGGATATTATTAATCATTAATATTCCATATATTCATTAGCTGAGGTTTATATATTTTATGCTTTTTACATTGTTGTACCTGAACTATAATGAAATTACTATGAAAATTACACTTAAGAACATGGCAATAAAAAAGTAATATTTTGCAATATTTTAGATCTGCTGACTCCACATGTAATAGTTAAAATGCAACATGACCTTTAAAAATACTAGTTGGCCATGAGTCGCTACTGGATTATAACTGAAAAGGATACTAGGTTGTTTATAAAAAATAAATCTAATTATTACAAAGCTGTTTTCAAGCTACCAGTCTGTCTGTGGAAAATAAATCTCAAATGTTGATAATTGTAGAATAAATCTGACCAACACGGCTACGTTTGACTTTTTCCATTTTAAGAACTTTTTTTGTTTTTTTCCTGATATAGTTTGGTGTCCAGCCAGACTATGACACCTCATCCAGTTGAATTTGCTCCGGGCACAGCCCTTCACCACTGGTCACTTATCATGGCTCTTTATGGGCCTTTTGACTTAGACTGCAAGAAAAACAACATATCTCATTTCCAAGGACATATTGGCTCCTGTAATACCCAAACCATTCATTGTAAAATATCATTCAAACATTATGCAACTTCCTAATAAATATTGATTCCCCATTCTTTTGGAAAATCACTAGCTCTATTATGAAATGTATCCAGTGATTTTTCAAAATACAAAGAT